TCACAACATGACCGGGACACCATCACAACACGACCTGGACACCAACACAACACGAACGGGACACCATCACAACACGACCGGGACACCGTCACAACATGACCGGGACACCATCACAACACGACCTGGACACCAACACAACACGAACGGGACACCAACACAACACGAACGGGACACCATCACAACACGACCGGGACACCGTCACAACACGACCGGGACACCAGCATCACATGACCGGGACACCATCACAACATGACCGGGACACCGTCACAACATGACGGGGACACCGTCGCAACATGACCGGGGCACCATCACAACACGACCGGGACACCAGCATCACATGACCGGGACACCATCACAACATGACCGGGCACCATCACAACACGACCGGGACACCAGCATCACATGACCGGGACACCATCACAACATGACCGGGACACCGTCACAACAAGACGGGGGCACCATCACAACATGACCGGGACACCAACACAACATGACGGGGGCAACACCACAACATGACCGGGACACCAAGACAACACGACCGGGACATCGTCACAACATGACTGGGACACCGTCGCAACATGACCGGGACACCAACACAACATGACGGGGGCAACACCACAACATGACCGGAACACCGTCACAACATGACGGGGACGCCGTCACAACATGACCGGGACAAGATCAAAAGATCACCGGGACACCATCCCCCCACCAGCTCTGACGGTGACCCGACGGCGCCCGTCCGCCTATTAGTTTTGCAAGACCCCATAGCATGGCTATTGGGGAATGATACACTGTTCAACTGCCGATGTTGCCGCCCAGTTTGGACCCACTGCCTCGCCAGGACAACTGCAATGCTCCAATGCGTGCAAGAGCTGGAAGTCCTTAGAAACATCGAATTGATAGGTTTTAATGCCGCGCGATGTGGTGCCCCGCAATGATTCTCGTGCAAGGTGGACCTATTGATGCATGCGTTGATTGATGCGCGAGATCCAACCACGGTGGCTCCGTAGCTCTCCAACACCGGCCCACCAACATCTGTGTGTTCTGTATGCAAGTGTTGCTTATGCAAGGGTTGCTAACACGCCGAAGGTTTTTCATGGCACTGAAGGGGCTGCACATACTTTTGAGGAAATCTGGATGACCACAAACCACAACAAGTTCTCAGGAGAATCTTATCTACTCTGAGGTCGAGATGGGTCCTGGAGAGCCACCATGGCAAGCTAGATATTGTCCAGTTGTATGCCCGCGTTGACATGGTTTGCCGGTCACGCATATTTCATCATATTCCCAAAGAAGTTGTCCTAACTCTAGTTGGGGGATCGATGGACGTTTTCTGCCTCGGAATGACTATGGTGCGCCATTGCTGAAGCTATGCTGTCTGGTGAGTTGTAAGGGCAAAATGAAGCGGCTGAGTAAACCTTGACATGAAACAATCTGCACCACCGTGCCACTACCGGACTTTGGATCGCGTCGCGCTATTCAATGAGACAGTAATTATGAAACAGTCTTGTTTGCTTTGCGTGCTTGTTTTCCCATCTTCACAAATGCCACTGTGTGCAACAGAAAGTTCCCCACAAGGAGTTAAAAAACAGAAAAGGGGAGGCGCGAGAAAACTGTGAAACCCATGGCGCCAAAATATTCGACGCAACAGTTGCTTGCTTGGGCAAATTGTTGTTGGGCACTGGGACACTGCGGGCAAGGGAATTGGAGATGTTGTGCACGAAGGCACCCAAACTTCAGGACAGGTGCGGGAACCATGAAGAGCTTCCATGTCAATGTTTGCCTTGTGCAAGTAATCTTGCGGCCTTCGGGAAGGAGGACCTCAATTTTTGGTGGCCTTTCCACAAGTCCACCTTTGCGCTTGCCGCAGTATGCTTAGTGGGCATCAGCCAGAAGAGTCGTTTGCCGGCCTATCACCACGACAGGTTCGGCTGAGAGATTTGGGGAACTCGTGTGTCCTGATGAGAAGAAAATGGTCATCATTCTTGAGTTCGCCCCCTCCTTGCACATCGATAGTAGCATAGGCCTGCAACAAGCCTTGCCCAACTTGATGTGTGTACATTTGTCATGGCGGGCTTGGCTTGACTTTCTTCGAACCAGCCAGATCAGTTTTCTCCCAGCGTTTTTTGAGGAAGACTTCTTGGGTTTGGCCAGCCCCATGCTTGAGGTTGTTTGAAGACTTTGCTCGTTGCGGAGGGTGGAGGCGGGAGGTCCAGAACGTTTTACCAATTATAGATTTGTGGAGGCAGCCCACCAATTTGACAACCTGGACGGAAGGAGAATACAAGCAGAAGCATACAAGCACAAGAACCGCACTCCTCACTCCCAGCATCTTTCACTGATTTTCCCAAGTTCGGGCAAGCGCCGCCGTACTTGCATCGAGAAGGCCAATCAATTCCAGGCATGACCGGTGGCGATGTTGGCGGGGATCAGGGCGACGCACGGCAAGTTGCCACAGGACAGGCTTTTGAGGCGGAAGGCACAGGGAGGTATAAAATGGTGTAAGTAAAATGGTGTAACTGAGACACAGGGCGGGAAATGCGTAGATAACCGAGAATCAAACTCAAAAAATGAAAACTTAAGCAGCAAGCCAGGACTGCGATACTGTCACCCTAGCAAAACGTCTATGCAGAAGAAACATGCATTCAGAGTGCAAACACTTCTCTTTCCAAACAAAGGCGATGAAACCGAAGAATTGAAGAGCTACACTTCGGACCCTTGAACTTGGTCCCCTGCTGCAGATCCGCGGTGCTTCTGCTCTACATCTTTCAAGCCTTTTGCAAAGACTCACTGAGGTCGCCAAGGTCAAAGAAAACAAGGTGCTCCCAGACAGGTGCCCCTTTCACATATTCAGCAAGCACACCCTCGCCCTCTTCATCCTCCCCCATCCCGCTGCTGGAAAAATCTGAAGATGAATTCAAAAAATCTGAGAGAAAAATCAGGCGCATGTTGAGGGCAAATGGCCTTCGAGATGCGACGTTGCTTAGCAAGGAAAGGTTGGCGGCAAAATGTGAGGGAGGATGACTACATGTCTATCACAGCAGGCAAGTTGTTTGTTGATGAACACGCGGCAATGCACAACTCAGCAGAACGCTGCGAAATGCTGCGAAGTTGCACAACATGGGAGTGCTCAAATGCTTGGCGAGTGGGGCGCGCAGCGGTCCTATAATTGGATCTCTAACATTGAGCACAAACGTTGAGAAGGTCACATCCCGACATGAGGCTGGAGATGATCAGCTTGAACGAAGCTGTGAGATCAGCTTCGTAAAAACGGCGACAGGGAAACTGTTGACTTGTTTGTATGACTGTTTGAATGACATAAGGGGGCACCAGGGGTGCTGATGAGACCGGTGCTGACAAAAACGCCCATCAGTTACCCGTGATACAGTTGGAGACGTCCAACTGCGTGCCTGCAGGGTTCTTAAGTTCCCACTGGGCCCGTCTTAACTACGACAAGACTGCCAGCCATTGCGGCGATTCACCATTCTGCAAATGAGAGCGATCGTCGTCACTTCGCCTTGTCGCCGCTTTATGGATTCTGATTTTGGCCTCCTAGTGGCTAGTTTTATCAGACCCCCTTACTTGGCCTTCTCAGAATTATGGTTCCCTAGGTTGCCGTGTGGCGAGTGGCACTCAGTTCCGCACGCAATTTCACGAGTTTGTTTCTCCTCAGTGAGAGCCCAGCCCCTGTGGCCCCGTATAGCCCCGTTGAACGGGGGTTTGTCTCGGTTCCCCGTGCTCGGGGACGCACGTGTCCACAGCGGACGGGTTGATGGACTATTGCAACTGAGTAGGCAGTCCTCAAGCACGCCAGAGCGTGTCCACAGCGGATGAGAACAGCCAGCCACTTTGGCCCGAGTAGACCACAGCAGTCGTAGATCTTTTTGACCCATTGGGGCCAGCCACATCCTTAGTTTACATACATGATTCCTCCTCCTCCTCCTCCTCCTCCTGTGCTTTTTGTCTCTCTCTCTCTCTCTCTCTCCCCCTTCTCTTCCCTCCGCCTTTCTTTCTTGCTTGGGATGCTACCATCATAGCTGGGAACTCTGGTGTGTCCTTGGACGCTGGAGTTGCAGCCGGGAACCATCGTTTCGTTTTTTTTCTTCTTTCCCTTCCCCTCCTTCTTCGTGCGCTGCGTGTCTTACAAGCAATCTAGGGGTTTACAA